AGCCTATGAAACCTGATCCCCTATCGGCAAGCTGATATGGTCGACAAGGTTTAGTCAATGAATGACCCCACACCCCGATGATGGCCGTGTTAAATGTGAATCTCAACCGGAGGGGTTAATCTCTTAGATATTTCAAAATGTCCTAAAGTTTCTACAAAATCCAAATTTCACAAAAATTCAAAAAAATCATTAAGCTCTAAGATATTTAAAAATTGAAACAAATCATTTATCGCTTAAAGAAAAATCCATCCACCCTCTGCAACAGTTTGTCGGGATGGACAAATCAAAATTTACTTCAGCTCACAAAGAGCTAAATGCCTAGTCGAAAATATCACTAGGTTCCATTCTCAAACAATCTCCTGCTAGTAAGGACGTGATACGTGTCCTCTAACCGGCAGTTTTGCCGCCAAATGGCACTGCAGGTAAACGGTTATGACCCGGGGCCCTGTGAACCGAGCGGTTTTGCTGCCAAATGGCACCACGAAATACCGGTTATGGTCAGCGCCGTTACGTTCCTTAATGGTATCAAATCCTTGAGATATGAATCAATAGGATATGATTGATAGGGCACAAAGCCCTCTGTTAGCTGAGGTGGATTTAAATTTGTCCCCTTAGGCAAATACCCATCCCAGGTCTACAAGGTCCCCTTGGACGAAGCAACCCATGGCTGCCGACAAGGATCTTTCTGTCAGGTTGAGTCGACTACCTCCTCTGACTAAGTAGACCAGGGACCACAATGGCCCGGGACGACGGAACCATGGGATCTTGATCGGGTCCATCATCCATTCCCCCACCATCCTCTTTAAGTGAAAGATGGTGAAATTTCAAATTTTAAATATCAAACCTTCAAATTCTCAATCCTTTCAAAATCTTCAAATTCCTAAATCCAAATCCATGCTGCTACTATATGCCAGATAACACATATTTATTATGTATCTGATTGATGACTAGCCTTAATTGAAAGTTCTCTCTCGTTATCGGTAGGCGTAATTAATTATAGGGGCTTGCGCCTATAGGAAACCAGAACTCAGATCATAAAGTCCTCGCAAAATGAGGGCGAAATCTCTGGGTAGTGTCTTATCTACAAACTCATCTGCCTTCCAAAATTTACCCCGGAACTTAATTCCGTTAAAACTCCCTCGCCGAATAAAAAGAAGAGATGGCGGAGGCCGGGGCCGAATTTTCGGAGCCCACAGTTTCCTTCCTGTGCAGCATGAGGACAAAGCTATAGTTATTCCAGTTTCTCATTGCATTTTGGATGCTTTAATGAAAAATATCATTTTCTGTTGAATATGAATGACCCACGGAAGGTTTACTTGAATGTTGGTAGGAAAAAAGTTTCTTAACTGGACGACAACTTTTACTTTAGTTTGTTTGTGCTGAGTGTTGAATGTCATATGTTTGAACTCAACTCCCGTAAGTTATGAAATCTTTGAGAATGCCTTTGCATACCTTAACACCTTTTGGAGATCTCTCTCCACTAACATCTTTACGTCAGAGCTACTTCTATTATGTTATTATATTCTTTCTATTTCCTTGACTAGATATGCTATCATTATGGAACTGGGTCTTAAATTGGGTTTCTTTTGGTTTGATATCACATTATCAAGGCTTATAATTGCGCTGTTGAGTATGGAGGCATTTCTTTGTGAAAGGATGCTTATATCTTGAAGGTATTCCTCACTATCAAAAAATTATATATTCAAAATAAATATAATACAAAATATGTTAATATCATAACATATTAATATATTAAATATATTAAAAAATGTCATATTAACATTCTAACATAGTCACAAGTGTGTATATATATATATAAACATATAGTAAGTAATAAATTGCACAAAGTAGAGTTGTAATGCAAACATCAACTGATTACAGTAATATAAAATATCAAATAAAAGTAACATAATATATTAAATCAAAGTAAGACATCAAACAAGTTTCTCTCTTTCACTCTTATTGTCCATGACAATCCAGTCAAGAATATAACAAGTAATCAAAAGTTCCCATCACTCTTATCACTCAAGAGGCTCTTATTAGAGTCATCATCATAATAAATAGTTTTCTCCATTGCCTCAACTTCAATTGAGTTCGAGTTCTCCCATTTATCCCACTTTTTCTTCATTCTCAGTCATGTTCCTCTTCCATAATTAATAATAATCAATAATGAATTGAGAACAATTGTTAAAGTAACTTCAAATAATTAAATTTCTATGGATACCTGTTTTTATTTCTTATTGTTGTTGGCTTGTGTTATATGTATTTTCCTTATTTTTATCTCCATCTAACAAATCAATATTCAATACTTCATGTTGAAATTTTGTTAATGTGATCTCATTATCATCATCTACAAATCATTTATCATCTTATGACATATCATCACATTGTAGTGATCATTGTCCTTTCCAAACCTTTTTTTTTTCAAATTTCTATCATTTAGTCTTTTTTTATACATTATGTACACCAAATAGTTCATCTCTAAAGTCATTAGACAATTTTCTCTTTTCATGTGAACTTGATTATATGTGCACCAGTTATGCTCATATCCAGATGACGAGCATATAAGTTCCAATACCTTAACAACAAGATGTAGCTCTGGAGCATCATCATCAAATCGGATCAACCATTCAATTAAATTTGAAAAAAATATGTAGTGAGAACTTATAAATTTAGCATTTTGGAGGGTCATTCTTTATTTCAATCAAGACATTAAATTTTAAAATGATTTGGAAAACATTTTGCAATTGTATTTTTTTCTTGTTGTAGTCCAAAAAAACTTTTATTCCTAAATGATAGAAGTTGCATATCAATAGGTGTCCTCTTATTTGAGTCAGCAGTTAACCTATACATAAAATGATATAATCCCAACATTATCTCAGAATTTGTTGACTATTTTCTAGAGTATTGAAATTGAGAATTAAGATAATATCTAGCAGCATGCAAATGGTGATGGAGAACTTCTCATCAATGACGTCCCAAATCTCCCTATAATTAGCCACATCTCCTCTTAAGTATCAAGTCCTTGGCCTCATCCATTACATTGTAAATGAAGTTCATAGTAGGCTTTTTTTATGGATCCACCATCCAAAAAACTTGAACCCATTGCCTTGTTATTATTGCATATGTGATACTCAACCAGAATTTCTCATTTAGAATAATCTCTCTAAGTTCTTTCTCCTGAGTTTTCTTAGCCAAGCATAATTAAGTTATTGACTGGAAGTAAACATAACCTTCAAATGCTGCTTAACTTCCAACATGCTATGTAGCGTCAAATAAGTTATAACAAATCTATTTGTAGTTGGGTATAGGAGTTCTTTTCTAGTAATTTTTCTTGTCAAAGCCAATATCCAATAATGCTTGTAGATGAATTTTCTTACCTTGTTGACTTTGGTCAAGGCATTTCTATGCTGTGGCAAGTCACCAAGCTTTTTTGAACGAGATCTATGTAGTGTGCAACCTATGGTGTCCAATATAGATGTTTTCTCTTCTCCATCAATTCAATCTCGGTTGTCGTAGAAGCAGTAGCATTTTTTTCACAACTTCGAGCATCAAATTCTCTCTAGTCTCATATATCACACCATTAAACATTCCAAAAATTTACTATACATCCTTTTTATATATGATCAGATGCTTTTATAGATTTTAAGAAAAAAGTTCCATCGGAATTATTTATTTAAATGTTAATCAAAATTCTATTCTTAATGTCAGATTAGTTATTAGACATGTTTGTCAGTCAAGTCTGACTCCGAGTCTTTTAATTTTCTTAATATTTTTCTCTACATTGCTCAACACCTCCTTAAAAACCCAATTTCTCAGGTCATAAATGGACGACGATTTCAAGCTTCAATTATAAGACCTTCTGAAATTGATCATATTGAAGTAAAAAAGGAAGATTATTGTATTAAATAAAATGACATTTTTATAGAAAAACCTCCCAAAATTCATACAAACACATCTACATGCTTCTTTAGCATTCTTTGAAGACATCTTCTAAGTTGCAAATGCCCTTTCTTCATTATCTTGCCATCTTTCAAATTTACCATGTAGTGATCTATAGGACCCTTGCGGCTCTACTTGGCAGTGGTGGCAAAGGTGATGAGAAGTCCTTGTCACTGTGCTCACTCCCATAGTAAGATCTGATATCAACTCTATCATCAAATTTTCGTTGCACTGTATGATTTGATATCGTTGATTTGTTCATATATGGTTAGATCTCTAGCATACGGTACAATATTTTTGAGCAATCAGAGAGATGTTCCTTCATCGTTGTAACATCCCTTTAAACATATTTTGTTGTTTCCCTAACGTCTACTTGAACACTACATCTCCATGTTGGATCACTTCTATGATCTGTTGTGGATTTCTTTTTTACTTATAACTATTTCTTTGAAATACTAGAATGAAAATTTTGATTCAAACAAAATTGAAAACATTCAAATATTCAATGAAATAAAATCCTAACTAAACCATGCAAATAAACAATTTTTTTGTGAGGAAAAAAAAAATTAGGGCTTAGTGATTGTCATTGGTTGGAAAGAAAGTTTGATGGAGGAAGTGGAGATTCTTGTGGAAGAAGAGAACTTGGCTAGGAAGAGGAGAGGATGGCTGCGGTGATGACGACGTTGGAGATTGCCGACAGTAGATTCGAAGGAGTGGAGGAAGGATGGGGCAGTTGGTTTCCCATGATCATGCGTGTGTGGGTGAGGGTTAGTAAGGGTGGGTTAATAGTAATTTTTATTTAAAATTAATTATTTTTAAAAGAAAAACCCTAACTCTTGAGTGGCGGATGCCCCTCATAAAATGAGGCTATGTGGCCTCACTAAATATGAGGCATACGCCTTACTTGAAATCCATGAGACATGCACCTCATAGCATTTTTGGTTTGAAGTATGCTGAGGCGAGCCTATTATTACTCAATATTAAACAATGCATATTATAAGCTGACATTATCTGTTCAAATAGTTTTAGTTTGATCTGATGCTGTCTTTCAATTGCAGGATGCCATGGAGTATGCAGAATGTGAAGCTACCGTGAAAGATTTTCTGCCATTCATGGAAGCAATGCGAAAGAGAGGTATTGAGGATATGGATCTTGTGATGGTAGATGCATGGTAAGCGGGCTTGTCGGTTTTACTTTCATATTCTTTTCAGAGTATTAGTGAATTTATTCAGTATAAAAATGGTTTAACCAAAGCACCAGGCTCCCCTTAACTGTGGGCTCTGGTGAGGGTTGTTGTGTGAAGTCAATTTTAGCACTTCGGTTGTTTCCATCCTTCCAAACCTGTCTGTTGGTTCTCCTATGGAGCACCTACGAATGGATTTGTGTGCCCTCTATATTTTTAATACGGATTAGCTTAATGCAGGTGTGTCGGTTACTATGGCAATGCTGACGCTCCCAATCGCAGACTCGCTAAACCCTTGATCTTTTGTAGAACTGAGAGCGATTGCCCCATGGAAAATGGTTATGCTCGTCCTGTTGAAGGCATCCATGTGCTTGTCGATATTCAGAATATGGTTGTTATTGAATTCGAGGATAGAAGGCTGGTCCCTCTACCTCCAGCTGATCCACTAAGAAACTACACTCCAGGTGAAACAAGAGGAGGTGTTGACAGAAGTGATGTAAAACCTCTGCACATTCTTCAGCCAGAAAGCCCAAGTTTTCGTGTTGATGGTCATTTTGTTCAATGGCAGAAGGTACGTGTACCACAAAGTGTTTGCATTTGGTTTACTTTTCATTTGAGCCAATTCTACTGTTTTGTAATGCACTTAAGCTGTAAAAGTTTTTCTCATTTAGTTGCACTGAATACGTTAGTAAGCATGCGTGTTCTTCTATCAAGCAGTGGAACTTCCGAATTGGTTTTACCCCTAGGGAGGGTTTGGTAATTCATTCAGTTGCTTATGTTGATGATAGCCGTGGGCGTAGACCTGTAGCCCATAGGTTGAGTTTTGTTGAAATGGTTGTTCCATATGGAGATCCAAATGAGCCTCACTACCGCAAAAATGCATTTGATGCTGGTGAGGACGGTTTGGGAAAGAATGCACATTCTCTAAAAAAGGTAAACTACTAACCTCCTCCTTTTTGTTTCTAAAATTCCTTTTTCCAATATGCTTTCGTCTATTTTCTCCCTGTACTTTTGGTTTATAGGGTTGTGATTGTTTGGGTTACATCAAATACTTCGATGCACATTTTACAAATTATACAGGGGGAGTTGAGACAATTGAAAATTGTGTTTGCTTGCATGAAGAGGACCATGGGATTTTATGGAAGCATCAGGATTGGAGGACTGGCCTTGCGGAAGTACGGCGTTCAAGAAGGCTTTCTGTGTCATTTATATGTACTGTGGCTAACTACGAGTATGGATTTTTCTGGCATTTCTATCAGGTATCATACTTTAAAATAACTATAGATTCAACATTTTTCATCTATTACAGTCAGGCATTACCTTTTGGTGTTCAACTTTTGCTAGGTTATGTTAATTAGACATTGGCAAAATACACATTTCTTGCATCTGTTATGATATTTTAGTATATTAGGTATAAATTACGTGGTTGTGCCAACAGTAATTAAAACTGCCATACATTTCGAGCTTGTTTGGTTGATGTATTTGCACATCAAAAAGCTTTTTGTGCTGGTTCAAAGTTAAATGTATGAGTTATTCTACTTAATTTCTTTCAAATTATCTTAGGCAGCAGTACTTTTGCAGGGGTTTGTTTTGCATGCTTTTTAAATCTAGCAAGCAGAACCGCACATTAGAATAAGCATGCTTGCAATGAAATTTAATTGCTTAAAAGGAAGTTGCTAACTCGTAGTTTTTAAATGAAACTTTTTCTGTAATAGTAAATATAATTTGGTTGATGATCTTGGATTTAAACCTTTGTATATGCTAATAATATAAATGCTTCATTTTTTTTCCTGCAAATGAATATATTGGATGTTTAGTAACTAACATGCTACTTTACTTTATGAGCTTCTTGGTGTTGACAAGTATAATTAAACCTGATTATGCCATTGATTTAACATGATTGACTCCAATGTCCAGCCATTCATGTATTCCTTCCATAACTATGAAAGTCTCTGCAGGACTGTTTGGTCAATTTTTAAGCATGGAATACAATCAAACCGGGATGGGGTTTGGTTCTTTTTATATGGTGATTGAGTTACTCTCCTTGATAATTCATTCCTTATTTGATTAGTTTTGTTTTGCATCATTAGTCTGTGGTCATCATGCAGATCAATAAAGCTGCATTGTTGTTTTAATTCACAGAGCTTTACCTTATTTTTATAAGCCAATTTTTTTTTACCTTTGAATAATTTTAATCTTACATGTTGGGTATGCATTAACCCCAATGTTGACGATCTAAAATCACTTGGACGCAACTAAAAGAGATCCGACCAACAAAACAAGCAAGTGATTGGGAGTTTTGGAAATAAAAGTAGGGTGATTTGGATCTTGATAGGAGTAAAGAAGATATTGTTCCTGTTGACGAATATTTTCATATCGAGCTGACCCCGATCAAGTTGATTCGAGCCCGATTGGGTTCGATCACACTAGATCAATTTGATCGAATGTTGTCAAAGCAAAATTTGGTCCTAATTTGTTGAAATTAAATTGAAATATCATCAAATTAATTTTAATTTAATTAAATTCAATCCAATTTAATTTAATTAAAATCAAATCAATTCGAATCGAACCCATTCGAGCTTCGTTGAACCAAATTCGACGTAATTCGGCGTCGATTTGAGCCCAATTTCACAAAATTGGCTCGATCTGACCAATTTCGACTCAAATCGACCTTGATCGATTCAAATTGGGTCCAATTCGGACCCAATTTTAGCCCAATTTATCAAGTCCTAAATCAATTCAAATCCGAAATCAAGATTTGGATTGAACGGCTTAGATTTCCTCTAGGATTCCGCTCTGTTATTGCGTCCTCCCACCTGACGTAGAGATGCGTCCTCCCAGAGCTAAAATCGCGCTAAAAAACGAGAAATGCCAAGCAAATACCGAGCAATACCAAACAATAACGAGGAATATCATCATGTGAAGATCAATACCGAGCTATACCGAGCTATACCGAGCAATACCGAGCAATACAAAAAAATACATAGTTTTTCCTAGAGAAAACTCGGTATGTGCTCGATATTGCTCGGTATAGCTCGGTATAACTTCATATTGGTCTTCACATGATGATATTCCTCTTTATTACCAAATAATATCTAGCAATACCGAGCAAAAACCGAGTTTTTTTCCGTTTGGAGGACGCATCTCTACGTCAGGTGGGAGGACACAATAAAAATTCGTAGAAGAGAGTGGGAGACGAAGGGGAGCCTTACTTGTGCTGTCTGTCTCGACCCAAAGAGAAAAAGAACGAGAGAGAGAATGAGAGGAGTTTCAAGCGGAGCCCCTGTCCGCGTCGAAGCCTCCATTCGCGCGACCTTTGCCCCTTCCGCGATCCCCTGGATGTGCGGCTACCTCGGTCGACCTGTCGTGGTGTTCGGTCGAACCTCTTATAAGCTCCGCCTCCCTTAGTCGCCGAACCACTTGAAGCCATCGGTCTCTAGGTCGGAGATCACGTCCGAACCGAAGACCCCGACTTCATCCAGGTCGGGATTTGTGCTTCTTCCTTCTTCAACTCCGGTGAGTTCGTAGTGGTCGAATAAGCTGTTGGAAGCTTCCAAACAGCAAGGGAATGCTTTGAAACTTTTCAAACAGCAGTTTGGAGCCTTCAAAACGCCTTGGACAGCGGCGGCGACGTCCGAAGCATCTTGGACAGCAGTCTTCCTCCCTTGGAGCGGCTTGGACAATGATTTCGGAGCTTGGATTAGAGTGCTAGGACAACCCGGGAGAGGTAAAATACTAAAACTTAGGAAAAGCCCTAAGGCCCCCTAGCCATTGATGTTCAGTTGACATCTCCAAGCCTAGGTCATTAGAAAACTTCAATTTTTGCTCACCCTAAATCGCTTATTGGCTGTCCTCTTCGCAAAACAGTGAAAACTTGGTGGTTTTCATTTGTTGGTTCTCATGTGAGAGTCCGGAGAGGATGTTAACGCATGTAGGGGTGTTGGATTGGTATTCAACATCTCTCAAATGCATTTTTGTGCATCATATTGAGCTTAATACTTTCACCTATTTTCAAACCCTAGGGTATGTTGTTAGTCATAGCCAAATTGAAGGTGTAGCTCGCATAGCCTCCCAAATTCCATCTTGCATACATATTCTTACTCAACACTAGTGTCATGACAAATAGACATGATTTAGGAGTTTGGTGAAGCTTGTGGAGTTTATCATAAGCCTTGCAATATATCCAAAATATTTTTGATGACTTGTTGTAGGATGTGATGTGAATCTCAAAGGTTCATTTTGAAAATTCTAGGGCATGTGTGTTTGATCAAGCTCACTTTTGGGTATGTTGTATAGCTTGTGATAAAAATGTTTATGGCTAATTATTTTTGTTATGCAAATTTTCCAATGTTTAGAAGCTTATCCCCTTGCTTTTAATGGATCAAAAGATGTCAAAAATGATTTGATCCCTTAAAGGCTTCAAATACATGTTTCCTACTATGTCATGATTCAAGCCATATGCCATATACTTTTTGCTTAGATTAATGAGTCTATTAATTTGTAAAATTTTTTCTAAATGTGCTCATTTAATTCTAAGTATTGGTAAAATTCATTTGGAGTATTTCATGGACCCCAAAGGCCCATGATCATTGCCCCATCACACGAAGGGATTATTGAAGCTCATTTTTCTCTAATTTGCAAGATAATATGACTAGATACAAGTTCTAAAATTTCTAAATTTTATTAGGTTTGATTTAGGGAAAACCTCTTTCATGTAGCCCTTTTGATAATGCTATAGGTCTTCCAAATTCAAGTTGTAGGACCAATCCCTCCTACCCAAATCATAGACCACATCACTTAGGCATCCTGGCCTATAAAGACTAGATTGTAAGACCCACCATATGGGCCACTTAGCTTATAAGGCTAGCATAATACCTAAAATTTTGTCCAAAAGGTAAACATACAAATTTCCCTATATTCTCTCACATATAGAAAGTATCAAAAATATTTTCATCAAATTTGATATTGAATTTCGAGTAATTGTGGTATCAATATATCTTAAATGTCTATATATATGTATCTTTTAAATAACTGTTTAGTATTATAGTTAATATTATAGTTAATGAATAACAGTTAATTGACAACAATTTATTAATTGTTACTGTAGTCTCCACTAATCTTGACATGCATGGGCTAGATGGAGATCAAACAGCTAGAATGTTAGTGGAATTGTAGTGGAGAATGCACTATCTTATAATAATATTATATATTACGGTAAAACACTAGTAGACCTATAAGTCCCCTTCATTCCTTTCATTGCCCATCACCTGGAATTGAAGCAGCGGGCAAGTAAGCTGAGTAATAGTAGAGGATTCGGTTGTTGGAAGGGGGAGAAACCAAGTGCTGAATCTGCGAATAATGTAGGAGAAGCTGCAGTTCAGGAATGCATAAATTGTGGATTTCTGTCACTCTTTTTGAATTCTGAATGTGGAAATCAGTAAGGATAATGAAGGAAAAGCTAAATGCTTGTAAGGGTATTGTTGTTTGCTGAAAGTAAGTAATAGTTACTGTTGTGATTTGCTGAAATAAAGGGGTTGCCGAAATTGGTTTGCTGAATTCATTAGAGAAACAGAAGTAAGTAAAGGTGTTGTGTTGAATGAGGAAGTTCAGTGAAGGTTGTTTATTAAAGGAAAAGAAGGAAGGGTCTAGGAGAATCAAGTCCAAGGTGAGATACCCAAACAAGGTTATAAGAATTAGTAAATATTTTATTATTCCACTTCATCTTGATTATGTTTATGACCACATGTATTTTAATTTATTTTAGTTATTTTGTATGGATATGGTCGTATATGTATGAAATTGTTACTGCTGTGATTTGCTGAAATAAAGGGGTTGCCGAAATTGGTTTGCTGAATTCATTAGAGAAACAGAAGTAAGTGAAGGTGTTGTGTTGAATGAGGAAGTTCAGTGAAGGTTGTTTATTAAAGGAAAAGAAGGAAGGGTCTAGGAAAATCAAGTCCTAACAAGGTGAGATACCCAAACAAGGTTATAAGAATTAGTAAATGTTTTATTATTGCACTTCATCTTGATTATGTTTATGACCACATGTATTTTAATTTATTTTAGTTATTTTGTATGGATATGGTCGTATATGTATGAAATTGTTTATGTAAAGGGTAATCTTTAGCAATGTTAATGATTTCGTAAGAATAAAAGGGTAAACATTCATAAACTAGTGAATGAGCAAAAAAGGCAACTAAAGCGCAGCTAAAGTGCACCTAAAGTACAGCTAAAGGGCAGCTAAAGGGCACTTAAAGGG